GCTTCAATTTCATGCTCCAGTAAGCCAAATCTTTCAAAAACATGATGAGTTCATGGTCTCTTGTAAAAATATGAGCATGCATGTACAATTTTATGAAAGACAACTGCAAAACTTCAAAATAAAGGCATGCATGCATGAACGAGGCTCCAATTCAACATACATGGACCAATTCAAGGCTCAAATCACTAGAGGCTCAAGAACTAAGCATGAACAAGTTCAAATACATTACTAGAAGGTTAAATTCTCTTACCTAAGTCTTGAATTCTAGGCAAGGAAGCTCAACTATGCAAACCTATACTTCACTTTCTTCAATTTCCAAGCAAAACCAAGCCAAATGAGGTGAAATCTAACTCTCTCCCTTATCTCTCTCTCTCTAGTCGGCAATGACAATGAATAAGGCTGAGGAAAAGGTTTGCTCAATGTATACAAGGCTCAGTATATGTAAAGTAGTGGGCCACTACTATGGCAATGTGGTAAATAATGCAACTCTAGTAATTTAACTCATTTTAATCTAATTCAATTATACCTAACCAGTTTTCAGATAATTATACCATAAAATCACGTAAATTACGATGATCATAAAACACTAATCGGTTTCCAGTTCGGCCACCGATAAGGCCTTCAATTAGCAGTTTAACACAAAGACTCGAACAGATAATCAATCAATCAAACAGATAGACATACAATTGAACAGATATACTCAGTCAATTCAGTTTCAATTTCAGTCAGTCAGTTCAGTAGTTTATTCAGTTCACTTATCAGTCATAATCAGTTCAGTTTAACGGTAATCAGAGTGGCTCCAACTTTCATCATTCAGGCTCCAACTTTCATCATTCACCTAAATACATTCAAGAAGACTGGGCAAAGCTCAATAGTAGGGATTAACATTCTTCGTAATAATTTTTTTTATATAATAATTTTGCAATGGTAATTATTTAATGATAATTTTAAATCTTTAAATCATCCAATTGATTTTGTTTTGGGTTTAAATCACCCTTAAATAACCATTGTAATATTATTGCACTAAAAGATTATTGTAGAAAATCCTAGCCTGAATACTATGCTCGGTTTGTTTCAACAACATTATAAATTTAAAAATATATATTTTTCGTAAAAAATAATTCTTATGTCTGATTGTGACTTTGAAACTAATATGCTATGGTTGTATTGATGGTGGTGGTGGTGTGGTGGAGGTGATGATAGCGGGTGGTGGAAGTGGTAGGATAGGGTAATGGTGGTGACGGCAACTGTGGCAAGTTGTGTCGGTGGCAATGGTGGTGGGGTGGTAGTGGAGGTGGAGGTGATGGTGTGGTGACATTCGTACAAATTTAGTTTGAATTTTTTTTTTTTTAAATTAAAACTATTTTCTAATCCAATAAATATGTTGTTACTTCTATTTTTTGTTATACTAAATATTAAAAAATATTTTTAGTCGAAACAAACGGCTCGAGTTTGTTGAAAACGCATTCAGTGATTGATAACCCTATGGACATTTCTTGAATTTAGGCAAAAGCTCAAAGAGCCTCACACCCACCACATCACCATTTCTCATCAACTTTGTCACTTTTTATGGTTGAAGAATAGGACTTCACAAATTCACCTTTTTGAAAGTAATGACTGTTTTTCTCTTCATATACAAAGGGCAAACCAACCCTTCAAGGAATCATTTGATGTTCCTACATTATTCACTTTTTTACTTTTCATTCCCTATTTTTTTCTTTGGTCCTCTCTTTCTATTCATTCACAAGCCATAACAACCCCTCATGCGTAATTTTTGGGTTAGACTCCATCAAAACAGGTTTGGAATGCTCTATGTCTAACTCTGGGTTAAATCTTTTTAGTATTGTCACATCCTTTAAAATTAATTTTATAACCTATTTTTAAATAAACTACATTAAATTTAAATTGTGGTAATGTAGCATCATAAAGAGGATGGAATGGAGAGTGGGACAAAGGATTCTAAAGCCCATAATTCTTTTTTTATTTTTTTTATTTGAACAGGTAGAAGTGCATTTGAAAATGTGGATAACCTTATTTACTCCTCACCTAAATAGATCACAACTAATATGGAACAAATGCTAAGTGTGTCAATTTTCTTCTTTTTAAATTTGAAAAGTTGCAAGACCACATCTATGGGAGTTTGCACCCCACAAAAATTCACAGTTAAGATATCAATTATTATCAAACGAAAACACAGTTTAGTAATTAATACCCAAATAATTTATTTTTATTTGATAATTGATATTTGAATAAACAAAATAGTGTGAACTAAAAAAAACAATTGTGTACAAATAGAAAGCACCATCATACTAAAGGGTAAAGGTACAAATTAGTTGTGCCATTTGTGCAATCTCTCACCACCCTCCTGGAAAGAGGGTTAGTAAAAATGAATTAAAGAGAAAGCAAAGGAAAATAACATTTTAGGACTTATATTAGGAGGGTAGTGAGAGTGAGAGAAAGCAAAGAAGTCTAAACATGAGTGTGTGTGTGTGTGCTCATTTTTGTTGATCTTCACCTACTTTTCAACTAAAGGTTTCACAAACATCACTAAGAAAAGAAGAGCATTGTCTGTCTGTAGATGATTCCGTGTTTTACGGGCAAAATGTGCACTTATAAATTATAATACTATGTTTTCTATGTTGTTTGATACACGATATCATCTAGTGTTTGCCAACTCACTTTGTGATGGAACCATAACATATGATTATTATAATAAAAAAAACTAAAATTTATCCAAAAAATTAAATTATAAATAGGTGGGGTGCAAGTTTTTAGTGTTCCAACTACAAAGATTTTCCTTCTTTTGTAATTTTGTATCTCATTTTCTATTGACATGTATTTTTCTTATCATTATATGTATTCGTAAACCTTCTTAAAATACCAATTTAGCATGTCGGCTTGTTATTTTTGGATCAATAAAAATAATAGTTATGAGATGAGTGTAACTGACTCGATTGGCCTTGGTCAATTGAGTGGAAAATAAAGTCAATTTGATCCATCTCTTTTTATGTGTCTTATTAGTCAGAAACACTATGTAACATATCGTAGCGAAACTATAAGAGTCTCAAGCCTAATTTAAAGGAAAAATCTAAAAGATGCCCTTTTATATTTTTTACATTGTAGTAATTTTTTATTTAAAATTTATTTTTCCCTTTTTGAGATACAAATTTATTAATTAAGCTTATATATTCAAGTTTTATCAACATGTCATTCACATGAAATTGTATATTTATATTTTTATAGTTTATCGTTGCAAATGAGGAATTTTTTATGTTAACTGAAAGAGAAAACAATAAGGGTTTTTTTTTTTAATTACAGAGAGAGACTGTATAATGATAAGAGTTTTTGCTTTTTTGCCTATTTTTATTTTTTCCAATTTCATTTTGATAGTTGTTTTCAATTTTATGTGATATCATATTTTTTTTTTTTTTTTTTTGATCAGCAAAGAAAAATTTCATTAACAGCATGAAATTAAAGGTACAGGAAGATGAAATGCATCGAGAGAGATTCGGAAAGTACACAATACCCCTACTACTGCTACTCGCATCCATACAACCAACCCCTTGGCCTCACGATTTTTTTTTTTTAAAACAAAAAAAACAAAAAAAAGAAGAAGAAGAAGAAAAGAGAGAAAGAGAAAAAGAAGAAAAAAAAAGAAAAGAAAAGAAGAGAAAAGGAAAAAAAGAGAAAAGAAAAGAAAAAAAAAAGAAGAAAAAAAAGAAAAGAAAAGAAAAGAAAAAAAGAGAAAAGAGAAAAGAAGAGAAAGAGAAAAAGAGAAAATTGCTAGGAGGTCAAGAAATATAAACTGAATTCTAGGCGAACACTTGAGCGCCGGTGCAAATTGCTAGGAGGTCAAGAAATATAAACTGAATGAGTGGAACCCTTTTTATTATTATTATTATTATTATTATTATTATCATGAGGAGTACATAACTGAGGTATGCAAAAATAGTAGTGGTGAAAAAAGATCAGAAAATGAACCTTGGAAAGAATGAGAAGAGATATGACACTGTGAACAAATGAAGTGTTAGGATTGGACTAAAATAATTAATAAAAAAAAAATAGGTTAAAATAGTTAATAAGATAAAATATTATATTTAAATTATAATTATTTCATTTTTCTTTCACAACCATCAAATCAACTATAATAAAAAAAATTAAAATAAAAATAAAAAACTAACTATCTTACCAAACACAACTTTTTTAGTCAGACTAAAATAATCAAAAAAAAAAAACAAAAAATTAACTAAAATAATTTATTCTCCAAAAGGCTTTTGACAAAAAGTAATGTAGCATCATCATTCACAAAAATAATTACTAGTTTAGGATACCTTAGGTTTGATTGGGGATGAAAAAATAAAATAAAATAAAATACCCCACAAGTCTTCCACTAGAATTAAATAACATTATAGCATCAATTAGTAATGTCAATTTTTCAAAAATGTTTTTTTTATTATTTATATATATGTTGTTCTCGTCCCATATATATTAAGGTGGGATTTGATAATTGTTCGATATGTTTAAGAAATTTCATTATGGTAAGGGAGAAAGTTTTGTGTGTGTTTCAAAAAATAAAATAAAATAAAAAATAAAAATCTGAAACAACATCATATTACCCTTATTTAACAAAAAGCAAACAGATTTTTAGTCCTGGCTTGTTTTTAGCCAAAGAACAAGCTATTAAAAACTCAATAGTATCATGAAGAGGTAGTGACGAATGGAATAATTCACTATTGACTTATCCTTGAGGTTTGGGTTCATGACTTTCGAATTTAAAAAATGTAAATTTTAGCCAATTAAGACAATCTGATTTGTTTGTTATTTTTTTCCAATACCCAAACAAGAACCCAAAATCCCTTAAAACACACCTCTATATTCTCTGTTTGAAATTTAGAATAATTACACGGATGTAATGAATCTATAAATCTGACAAATAAACAAAAAAAAAATATTAAAAAAAAAAAAGCAGCAAAAACAATTAATGTTATTACATGAAAGATCTATTTCTCTATAGGTTTGTTCCTATCAAGTGGAAGTACCTGTGTAGAATCAATTGAATGGCATTGTTGATGAGCCTCTCTTTCTTTGTTGTTGTTGTTCTTATTACCAACAACAATTCTAATAAAAGAACCATTATTAATATCTCTCTCTTCTATGGCCAATTTCTCAGCTTCTTCCATCAATTTTCTCATCAGTTTCTCTTCAGCATCTCTCAAGAACTTGAATTTCGGAGGTGGTGAAGAAGATTCAAAGAGAGGATTGAACTCCATAGGTGTCTCAACAGCAACAACAATGTCACTCAAGCTTCTAGTTCTTGACCTCTTTCTTGATCTTCCATCATCAGATTCCAAATCTTCCTTTGTCTCTTCTTTGATTGTGAAGAGAAATCTTGGTGGACCACCACAAATACTGTGAAGCCTCATTAGCTCTGACTCCGCACTTCCTTCTTCTTCTTCTTCTTCTTCTTCTTCTTCACCATCACCATTAATGCCTCTCTCCTTGGCTGCTGCTGCTGATGAGCCCAACTCAAGGTCTTGTTCATGGCCATTATTGGTGATGATTTGTTGATCAGTTTTGTTGCTTGTAGTGTTCACTGAATTGGGTTTATTCCAGGAACAGAGATGGGAAAGTTGTTTGACATAGTTGGTGATGGCGTGGTAGTACTTATGATGATGATCTTCAATCTCTTCTCTGATGGTGTTGTTTCTATTCTTCTTCAACCATAACAAATAGTAAAACTCTGCAACAAGAGCTAAGATGATGCACCCAAGGACAGAAACCAAACCAATACCTAAACCACTAAAAGATGCCATCTTAGGCCAAGAAAAAAAATTCATCCATAGAAAGACAATTAATTTTGGATGGAAAGTGCTTAAGAATCTTCCCAATGGCCTTGCTTTGGGTTAATTACACTTAATGCCCCTATATGTTGGCTAAAATTCAATTTTGACCATTTACTATTAATTATGGCAATCAACTCCTTGGATTTTAAAATAAAATTACTATGTCACTTTTCTGTCCATTTAACATTAATGAGACTAACAAAATTCACACGAGTCATACAGACGGTTTTTATGGACAATTAAAAGTGCAGAAGTCAAAATGAAATTTTAGTGAAATTTCAAAGAAGACTAATAGAGTGCTTCTATTAGCCTTTATATTTTTTGTTTCATCCCTTACCTTTTATTGACTCTTGTTTAAATATTTTGATTTTTTTTTTCTTCAAACACTCACCTTAATCCCAATTATATCCTCATCCATAGCCTTTGAACCCTAACCCTAGTCACCACTTCCATGCCTAGCAACCCCTCTCTATCCTCTCCTTCTAGTGGCAGCAGCTGAAGGTGAAAGAGGTGGTTGATGGGGTGATGTTAAGGCCTCGTTTGGCAACCAAACTTTTTAGTCAAAAAGTCAAAAAAGTTACTAAATTAGCTAAAAAGTCAACAATCCATACTAAAAAGTCAAAGATTCTCTTTTCTCTCTACTTTTTGCACATCTTTTCATAAAAAGTCAAAAAGTCATCACAAACATACTAATTTTTTTTAGCTCATATTTTAACTAAATAGCCAAAAAGTTACTAAATTAACATGCTCTCAAACGAAGCCTAAGTTAAGGTTGGGGTTTGGAATGTTAGAGATGAAGACAAAAGTTAGAATTTTATGTTGTGATGGAATTGTAAGTGGAAAAAAAAAAAAAAATTAGTAAAATGTTAGATCAAAAAAGAGTGAGGGCAAATATGAACACACAAACTAGTGAGACAATAAAAAACGATTTTACAAATATGTCCTAAAAAAATGTCATGTGCAACTCACTAATATTAGATGGACAGAACGATAACATTACAATTTTGAGTAAAAAAATATAATATAAAATTTTGATGAAAATTGTGGCAAGTGTAACTAACCCACTTACTCTATATCAGCAATTTACACTATTGCAACTAAAACTCAGAGTATGTAAGAAGAGAAGAGACAACCCCAACAAATCTATCATAAAAATCTTGATCAATGTCATTGTCTATTATGAAAATAAAGACCGAAAGTCCAAAGTAACAACTTCATGAAGAACTATAGGTTTCTTCCAAGTGAAGCTGCAATGATACCCAAGGCTCCAAGAAAATCCTAAAGGACCCTCAACCACCTCTGAAGTAGAAGAAAATATGGGACAATTCACACCACTTCACAAAATAAATAAGTTTTTAAAAAAAATCAATTTAGGGATTGAATTGTCACTGATGTTGACTAAACAAGTCCTAATTGGTAATTAGGTATGCTTTCGACCTTTACTGATGAGAGGGTTCAAATCTCTTTTTTGTTTTATTGGTCCATTAGTTTAAGGACGACATTTGAATTTCCAGTTTATCTTCTCGGAAACGACTTATGATTTCACACTCCAAATTCAGGCATTACTGGCCATGGCCCACAAAGACTTAGCCCAAGTCACACGTAAATCTAAACATGAATCTAAAATTACAAAGAATAAATGTGATGATAGTCCATAAATAAATAAATCAAAACCTAATCCAATGACAAGTCACAAGTATAAATGGTTAAACCAGCCATAACCAACTTTCAAAAATAAACACTAAATGGAACACAAACTGCCCACAAAATAAAATAATTTTAAATAAAATCCAACCATAATGTATGCACAAAACCGACATAACAAGCTAAAACAAAATAATAAATATCCTAGAGGTCCATGCAATCGAGTCCCCGCTACGTTATGAGTCCACTCTAAGTCCTTTTAATACCTGAAAGTGATAAACAACTAAGTCAGCTGATAGCTAAGTGAGCAACAGCATAGATAGTAAATACAGTTTTGAAAAATAGGGTTCAATTCAAAAATAAGATATATATTACAGAAACTAAATTGACATACAGTTTTGATAAAGATAATCTGTTTCAAAAAGAAAGTTTCACAATTCAACAGTTAAAATACTCATATCTCTCAAGAACATGATAAATGACATTCTCCACTTAAAACAGATTACAACATGATCATCAATAATTTTATAGGTACCAAGAATAACACGTAACATGCCACAAAGTTCTCGAGACAATAAGCCTATTGGATCCAATATTGAACCAAGAGTGATCCTCGGGGTGGCAACTCAGATCTTTTCTCTAAGACGATCTAATTGAAGGTCACCTAGCCTAGCTCAGATCTTTTCCTTACAATTGTTGAGCACTAGCAGGGCCGGCCCTAGACGTAGGCCCACCAGGCTATAGCCTAGGGTCCTCAAAATAGACTCAAAAAAGGGGATCCCTTCTTATTATAATTTAGTATAATATATTAAATATGTTTTAAGTCCAAAAAAAATTAATGAAAGTCCAAATTAACTTAAAATAAATTGACCTATTCAAAAATTGAAAGGCTCATTCAAAAAAATTAGCATTGTTATCCATCGACAATAGACCCAAAAAAGGCTCCCCTCCTATTATAGTTTAGTGTAATATATTAGGCATGTTTTAAGTCCAAAAAAAATTAAGAAATGCCCAAACTAATTTAAAAAAAATTAACTCATTAGAAAAATTGAAAGGTCCATTTAAAATAATTAGCATTGTTATTCATTGAAAATGACTTTGCAAAAAAATTAGATTATGCAAGTATGATTGATTTATTTGCTTCTAAAAATGTAAGAAAAGCGAGAATCAAACGATATTTATTAGTTGTTGTAATGTAATGCTATGTATCTTTTGTGATTTTGACACAAATCTTTTGTCCATTACCTTTAATTTTTTTTCATTCAATGAAAAAAAATGTGAAGGGTCCTAGAAATTTATCAGTTGATTATCGGCTTTGAGCTCCGGAAATCTCAGGGCTAGGCCTGAGCACTATAGTCATCACAGCCTAACCCAGATCTGTTCCCTAGTGGCCAGAGTCACCACACACAGTAGAATAATTTTCCTAGACTTTTATATACAAATGGTCCCAATAATCAATATAATTCAATTTCACAAAACATGATAGTTTACCATTATAAACATGAGACCATGACAAACACTTTACAGTATGTCAAGTTTACATATATTTCAGAAATAATTTAATTTCATTGATAATATAATAATTTTATCAAAATGGTTTAGTCCTGAAACAACAATTTAATTTTTCAACAGTTCTGGATAGGAGAACATTTATAAAAATATGTCGTATGCAACTACTCACCTAAACAAGGTATAATATAATCCTCGAATAAAGTATAAAATCCCAACTAATGTCCTGAACCAAGTATGAAAATTACACGTCACTACTAATTTAAAGATACTAAAAAGAATAATAAACTAAGTACCCCACACTAAAGTGCACTAACACAACTTAACCCCACTCACCGCTACTTTTAAATAATACCTAAGTTCATGTTCTTCAAGGTCTTAAATTACTCTTAAATTACTCATGACATGGGTTCAGATCGAAACTTAATTAAAAATAATTTTAAGATAAAATAAACAAATAAATAAATGTTACAAGCTCAGTCTATTAATTTTTGTTCAAGTTAATACAATTTAGGAACAAATAAAGTAAAAGGTTATTGGAGCTACAGTTGTGTGTAGCATATTAGTCGCTTAATTATCAAGTCATCAACCATGAGAGGAGTTAACTACCATTTACTTTTATCAATTTTTTTTTTTAATTTTAAAATTGTACATTTAAATATCTTGACTATAAAAAAAATTATATAAATACTCCCATCTTGAGGGGCAAATGTAAAATACTTTTATAATTGAGGATCTAAATGTACTATTTTAAAGTAAAAAAATAAAAATAAAGTTACATTCAATAATTGAAGGGACAAAATATAATTAACCTAAAAAAAATTAATGTAAAAACTTATGGCCAAGGAAAGATCATGTGACATCTTTGAGCCTAACGCTTTTGGTAGATTAGTTGAATTACTTTGATTCGAGGCATTAATCGTCTCAATGCGGCAGGGGCAATCATAGTTTATCAAAAATATTCTTTCCAATTCATTACCAAACTAAACTTGAAAATGGGAATCCATTCTTTTCAATCCCATTAATAAGTTCCAAGCACAATAAGGTGGTGTTTGGGAAGCATGCTGGGGGTTAAATTAGCCACATAAGGATTAAAATGGCTTATTTAACCAAAAAAAGACAAAAGATGCACAGAAAAGAGGCAACAACACTGGACAAGCAAAATTTATGAAACTACCCCATGAAAGAGGGGCATGCGTCCTTTCACACAAAAAGTAAAAAAAAATTAAAAAAAAATTATTTAAATTTAGTTTCAAGTTATGTGTTTGGTTAAATTTTGAACACACACCCATCTCTCTCTCTCTCTCTCTCTCTCTCTCTCTCTCTCTACCTCTATCGAAGCCCATTCTCGTGCTTCTCTATCGGAGCCAACCCTTGCCGGTGACCAAACCCCAAACCTTAATCTCAACCTCTTCAACAACTCCACAACCACCACAACCCACTTGAATGCCTTTCCACTGAACCGCCCCAACAAACCCATCTCAATCACCTACTCCAAGATCGACCATCCGCCGCCTCCAAATCCCAAGATAGCGTCTTCAACTTCGCAGCTAGCCCCACCACCCTCCACGAGATCGTCCTCAAGAAGGCCGAATCCAAGCTCTATAATTGGCGCCATGGAGATGAGCCATAGAGGTAAATAATTTCTCTTCATTATCCAAAAAGTAGAGTCAGATCTGCGAACCCTCCTGAAAAACCTAAATGATTCGTGATTTGGCTCAAGATTAATTATATCAGTTCCCAAACAATTAAAACTAACAATTTTGTCATGGCCCAAACCCGCCCCTATGGGTTTAGTACCGTAACCGGTCAGTAAT